AGAGAATTAATTTGTGATTAATAAATAAGTCAAAAGGGTTAAAGGTAACACACTGTTTGATTTACTAATGGTCTTTTATTCTGTATGTTGTAGCTCTTACGGTGTGTTCACATGCACGGCTATTTAATAAAAGGATTGTGAACCATCAGTTTGAGAGACCATCTTTTCAACCGGGGATGCTACATTGTTCCAGTTCCAAAGAAAACTCGCCCATCAGTCAATGACGACTACAGACCTGTTGCCCTGACATCCCACATCATGAAGGTCCTGGAGAGACTCCTGTTGGTCCACCTGAATAAACAAACTAGAACATATCAGGACCCACTGCAGTTTGCTTATCGCCGTGGAGTTGGAGTTGAAGATGCCATCATCCAGCTGCTTCAACCAATCCACTGTCATCTGGACAAAGCAGGCAGCACTGTGAGGGTCATGTTCTTTGATTTCTCCAGTGCATTTAACACAATCCAGCCTGATGTACTTTGCCAGAAACCCCAAACGACACAGGTGGAGGCCTCAACTATCACCTGGATTAAAGACTACCTGACAAACCGACCACAGTTTGTGAGGCTGAAGAACTGCACATCAAACCAGGTGATCAGTAACATTGGAGCACCACAGGGGGCTGTACTCTCACCATTCCTTTTCACCCTGTACACCTCAGACTTCTAGTACAAGTCAGAGACCTGTCATCTACAGACATAATCAGATGACTCTGCAGTTGTCGGGTGTATCAGAGATGGACAGGAAGCTGAGTACAGAGAGCTGGTGGAGCGCTTTGAGGCATGGTGTGGAAACAATCATCTGACCTTGAACGTGAACAAAACAAAGGAGATGATTTTAGACTTCAGAAGAAACAGGGTGGAGTCAAACACTGTTTCCATCATGGGAGAAGAAGTGGAGGTGGTTGAGGAATACAAATACCTTGGAGTTCACCTGGACAACAGACTGGACTGGAGAAAGAACAGCGAAGCCGTTTACAAGAAGGGACACAGCAGACTGCACTTCTTGAGGACGCTTAGGTCCTTCAATGGCTGTAGCAAGATGCTGCAGATCTTCTACAAGTCTGTTGTTGAGAGTGTAATCTCTTCAGCCATCGTCTGTTGGGGGTAGCAGCATCAGAAGCAGGGACCTGAAAAGGCTCAACAGCCTAATAAAACAGGCTGGTTCTGTTCTGGGGACGACTGTGGAACCACTGGAGGAGATAATGCAAAGAAGGATTCTCCAGAGAATCAAGAAAATTATGGACAACCCTGAGCATTCTCTTCACAAGACTGTCCGACAACGGTAGAGTGTCTTCAGTCAGAGGCTTCTTCGGTTTCGCTGCAACACTGACCGCTACTGGAGATCCTTCCTGCCAATAGCCATTGTAATATACAATAACTCTTTGATGACTTGATTATTATTATTATTATGAGCTACTACATCAATCAATTTCCCTCTGGGATTAATAAAGTATTTTTGAATTGAATTGAATTGAATTGAATTTAATTTAATTGAATTGAATTTAATTGAATTGAATTTGAGACTCGCCGAACGGCATTGAATTCACAGATAAAAAAGATGTGGGTTCAACTTTCATTTTGGAACAATTTTTCAAGCAAGGGAAGGGAAGCTCTGTGAAGCTGACAGACAAACCTTTGTCAGCTGTGCTGAAGAGAAAGTACAGAACCAAATTATTTAATTAATTTGCTGCGCGTTCTCCTGTCCTCTGTCGTCCGGGCCACACACACACACACACACACACACACACACACACACACACACACAAAGGACTGTCTCAGCTGTTATTTTCGTTAAGGAGTGTGCACGTACAGCATGCGCGCCTCGTGCACGAGCCTACCATTGAAGCTGCCGTTCCGCTTTTGGCCTGAGGGGGCAATCGCAAGCATAAAAATTCAAAACTCCGTAAAGTCCCTTTAATGAAAAAAGTAACTAAGCAGTTATTTTTCTTGGTAATAAATTACTTTTATAATCTCGTAACTCAATAACTGAGTTACTTTTTGACAAAGTAATTAGTAACTATAACTAATTACTTTTTTAAAGTAACTTTCCCAACACTGCTTCAATGAATGTAAATTCACAGTAAATCTGCATTACTTTTACAGTAAATTACTGGACAATTTCCTCAGTTTGCATTGTAAATTCACAGAAAATAATTGTAAACTTGTACATTCATTTCACAGTACACCCTGTAAAAGTACGGGGTCTTGTTGTAATTAAGTACAGCAAAAGGTTGTAATTCCCCAGTAATTAACTGTAATATCACAATAATTGTGTTGTCAATAAAACTGTAAAATTACAGTAAAAAGTTCTGCTTTTACAAGAATACCCTGAAATATGACATTAAAAAAATTACAGTAAATTGCTGAGTATATTTCACAGTATATTACTGTATTTCCTACTGTGAAAGTCATGCAAAATTTATCCAGTTATTTGCTGTAAATTCACAACGAAAAATTTCACAGTGTAGTCAGAAGAGCACATGTATGCGCTTGTATGTATGTATGCCCGGTAGTGTCATGGGCTGTGTCCGAATCCAGAGGTAGGATGCTTGTGAGTACGGGTCCTCACCAGTCTAGCAAGGCCTGGTCCTTGCAAGACCGCTAAAACCGGATGTCAGCGGCTCTGAATTCGGACAGTACTAGCCTCGTTTTTATTCCCGCCCCCAGGTCACGTTGCCTAGCTACCGTGCGGCGGCAAACAGGCTAACAAGCTAGTAGCCATGTTGAAAATGGATCCACAGCAATATTTCATTTTATTTGTGGTTTTTGAGGAGCTGCGACGGCTCAATAAACGTCACCGGCCTTTGTATTTAAAGTTTAAAAATCATTTAGTCCTGTTATCTGCTAGAGTTACAAGTATTGTACTCATGATCTCCTTTTTTGCATATATCTGAATGTTAGTGATGTGACAGCCGTCGATTGAGCCAGCCCAGCAAACCCTTTTGATGGACGATGCAGTGGACAGTGAGATGAGACATCCAGAAGCACCCTCTGCAGACCACTCTGTCTGATGTTCCACTTGCCAACCAGAAACGTTCAGCCACGGATCTCGGTTCCTGCACTCCATCCACCTCGATCCATGTTTAGTAGATTTAGCAACACCACCAAAGACTCCCTGCTTTCCAAGTTTACTGTATATATTTTACTTTTATCTTTACTTTTATTCCTTACAGTGTTCCCTTACAATTTATTTACTATGTTGTTACTTGTTAAAAACTGAATAATAAAACTGTTAATGATCAAAAAAGAGTTATCAATTAATAGAAATTTTATTACATTCAAACAAATAACAAAAACATTCAAACACATATATAGAACCTGAACCAGAAGAAACTAAAAGAAAAAAAACCCATTTCTCTGCCATCCTTTCCATCAATGCTAAAAATCTTTCCATCCTTCTTTCTCTCCTCTCCTCTGCTTCCCTCTGTTGTCTCATGTCCTCCCTGATCAGGTCAAGGAGCTCATCAGCCCTTCTCCTTTTTCTCCCTGATGAGGAGTCCGGCTTCCTTCCACCACTCTCCCTGTCCTCTGTCTCACCCACTGCTGCACTTGGCCCTGGAGTGTCCTCGAGAATGGAAGCAATAAGGACAGGAGGCATAGCTGAAGGCCTCTGTCCCAACACCTCGTCCATGGGGACAAACCAGGGCCAGGTTTCAGCAGTGGGCTTTCCGCTGACTCCCTCTCCTGACCCTGGATACTTGCAGTCCTACAGACAAAGGGAATTAGAATTACAAGGCTTTATTGTCATTTAACAACAGAGAACACTGTGGGCATAATGAAATTACAGATGCTCCTTAAAGGTACTGGTTCTGGATGAGAATAGAGAGGAATAGAAGAACAAAGTCAGATTATAAATCATAGTTGATAAAACATGCAATAAACAATATTTTAATTTATCAACATGGGAGATGAAAATTGTGTTCTGTGTTTTTTTACGCCTAAAATGAAATTAAAAACATTAAATCAGTAATGTGGTTTCTTAAGAATTAACTTAAATAAACATTAAACTTAGTTTTTGTTATTTTTGGCGTTCGTTACATGATTACATAAGATGCAAGCTCTTTTACGGTGAGTTTTTTCCTATTAGACTTTCAAGCAAGTTTACGGTGGGGTGTTAACCTTAAAACAAATGATGAGAAGCTTTATTCGCTAAATAAACACACACACACACACACACACACACACACACACAAACAGGAATTATGACGGGACCACCATACAAGCTCGTTCTCGCTGATTTCTGCTTAAAATGTACTTATACAAACGACAAATGTCTATAAACAGAACCGCTTTCAGCTTAGTTTTCTATTTTCTTTTAAAGAGCCTGCTGGGATCAAGCTAGTTTACGGTGGTTTTTTTCCTATTAAACATTCAAGCTGGTTTTCGGTGGGGCATGTTTTAGCCTTAAATTACATGAAAAAAAAAACAATTTGCGGTATTAGATCTTATATAAAAAACAAACCAAAAGTGCCCAAACACATATTTTATTTTTTTGACCGCTATTTTTTAACTAACTTACATTTTAAGCTGTACTGCTGTCCCGCTCCGTCCGCCGTTGTTGCGAGTGTCGAGTCCAGCAGCCGGCGCGCAAAGCATGCTGGGATACCCTTGCTCCTGTGAGGATCCATCAGACCCATCCTCGAAATGTGGGTGGAGCGAGGACGCGTTTGAGGACGCGAGAATGAGGATTCTTGGAATTCGGACAGTACTCGTCGCTGCGCTTTGACGTCATCGACCTCAAAATGCGCTCTCACAAGCATCCTACCTCTAGATTCGGACTCAGCGGCGGTCTGCGTCTTCTCTCATGTGTCTCCTTGTGTTCTCCATCCATCTATAGGTTCCCCTTTTGTGTCTGCTAGTGCCCTCTTGTGTCCTTGTCTATGTCTCCCTCATGTGTCTCCTTGTGTTCCTCATGTGTCCCCAGATCTGCAGCCCCTCTAGTCCCCCCCCCCCCCCCCCCCCCCCAGGTCCTGTGCTCCCGTGGTCCCCCTTAGTCACGCCCCTGTAGTTTTTCTTTCTGTAGTGTTTTCCTTTAGTTTCAGCTGTTCATCTATTAGTCTCTTTTAGTGTGTTTCTTTCCCCCCACCGGTTCTTTAGTTCTCCTTCCTCAGATTATTAGTTAGTCATTTTGCTCTTCTTGCTTTTAGGTTTTGTCTTTAATCTTAGGTCATGTTATTTTTCTTCCTCTTCAACTCACTGCCCTCTCCTTGATTAGTAATTGAGTTCACCTGATTTCTCTCCCCACACACCTGCAGCTTATCTCCCTCTCATCCTCCCCAGTGTATAAAACCCTGTCTGTGTCTCAATGTTTTGTCGGTTCATTGTTCGTGTCAGCCTCGTCTCGTTTGCTCGCTAGCTTCTAGTGTCTCTAGTTCTCTAGTGTTTTTGGATCTCTAGTTTTTGTCATTTGGATTTGTGGTTTTTGGCTCCCTGCCTTCTTTGATTACTCCTAAATAAAGGATTTTTATTTCATCTTCCACCTTTGCCTCATTCATCTGGTTTCTGCAACTTGGGTCCTAAACTTCCTCCTGCCCAACTTGTGACAGGTAGAATTTTTTACTCCTGCATCAGGCGCTGGTGTTATGTCAATTTGATTGAATGCTTACTTGAACATTTAGCAACGAAAACGAAATGGCAACAGACAAAAATAATGCAATCCCCAGAACAAAACGTTTGTGACACGTTTGTGTTATAATAATGATTAAGTAATTTTCTGGATTTTGAGACTGTAAATAAAGTTAATCTCAATGTATGGAAGTCACTTTAGCATAGTGGTTATAGCTTTGCTAGCTTATCATTTTACCGACTGTTCACCGCGGATTAATAAAACTTATAACGGATCACTATTATGGATCAAGCATAAACTGATGTTCATTCAGTTTTTATTTTATTAAATCACCATTGGTAAGAAGCTTACTCCATTCATTAAAATAAGAGCCATGTTGTCATGGTCTGCATCTGCGTCTTCCCTCATTTGTCTCCTTGAGTTCTCCATCCCTCTCTAGGTTCTCCTTTTGTGTCTCCTAGCACCCTCATGTGTCCTTGTCTGCGTCTTCCTCATGTGTTTCCTGGTGTTCTCCATTTTTTTCCCAGATCTTCAGCCCTCTAGGTTTCCCTCCTCAGGTATCCCCCTCCCAGGTCCTGTGCTCCTGTGGTCCCCTTTAGTCACGCCCCTGTAGTTTTTCTTTCTGTAGTATTTTCCTTTAGTTTCAGCTCCCCCCTTCGAATATTAGTTATGTTTGCTGCCCTTCTGGTCTTTAGGTTTTTCTCTTAGGTCATTTTCCTTTAGCTACAGCTGTTCATGTTATTAGTCTCTCTAGTGCGTTTTTCCCATCGTTGTTTGAGGTTTTTCTCCCCCCTTAGATTATTGGTTATGTTTCCTGCTCTTCTTGTCTTTAGGTTTTATTCTAAGGTCATGTTAGTTTCCTCCCTGATTAGTAATTGAGTTCACCTGGTCTCTCTCTCCCCACACACCTGCAGTTCATCTCCCTCTCATCCTCCCCAGTGTATAAAACCCTGTCTATGTGTCAATGTTTTGTCGGTCCATTGTTTGGTGTCAGCATTGTTTTGTTCCTCGTCACTAGGTCTCTAGGTTTTATGCTCTTTAAGTGAGCTCTCGTTCTCCAGGGTTTTAGGACATTGGTTTTTTTGGCTTCCTGTCCTTTTGGAATTTTTGTTCTCCTTCCTAATAAAGGAATGTTTTCATTTACTGTACATCCACTCCTGCCTCATGTCGTTCTGGGTGTCTGCATTTTGGGTCCAAACCTCCTCCAGACTCGCAACGTGACACATGTATATTAGCTAAACTAAATTATGTTAGCTTTGTCTATTACCACCCAATTGCACAGTACAAGATATGTACGGTTAACTCCGTTTGTCTGACTGATTTAACGCAGCCTATACTTGCGCTGTTATTACAGCATCATTTAACCAGTAATTACCAGTAATATTATGAATATAACCCTTACATTTAACTACGTATGTTATTCAAAATGGCAAACTGACTGTGTCTCCTCGAAGAACCGCGAAAAACTATCCGATCCTTTGTCTTTTCCAAATAACCCAGTGGTTGAGTTAATAGCACAACTAAATCACACTGACGCTGCTTTGACTGCTGTGTCACCGCTGTCTTCTCTTGGTCGATGTAGCGATGTTTTAAAACCTGTTCTACCTCAACTCTGACAGTATCGTGGGGAAATGGAGGATTGTCCATTTTTTACAGACTTAATGCTATTTAAACCAGTCGGACATTCAATTTTCAAGCTGGAACCTGAAAAAGACACTTGAGCTAATTCTCAATGTGGCATGCAGTTTTGCCATTTAATCTATGCTAAGCAGTTTTAACTTTTATATTTGGGAAATCCGTTATATAACATTTATTCTATAGAAAATCGTTTTTAGCATCACTTGGCAAACAAAATATTTTCCAGATATCTATAAATATAAAAATCTATTGTTGTGACTAAAAATTAAAAATCCAGATATACATAATAGCAGATTTACTGTCTTACTATCAACAATTTTGGTATATGATGCAACCATGACTAATAAAAAAACATGCAATTCTTGCTAGTCACTTAGCAATCAAAACCAGTAAACAGAAAAGTGGCAACCACATTTAGGCCCACCTAATAATAAAAATTATAATAATACATGCTAACTTATTATAAAGTTATTATACCACAATTATTTAGTAAAGCAATCTTTAAAAAATAAGAAACTTAACTTGATCATTTATCCTCTGAGTCCTGCTCCTTTGTCACTCGTGAAAAAAGTCTCTCAAAGAAAAAAGAAACTTTTATAGTATAAATAACCCAGCAGTTGAGTTATAATTGCCCAGGGGTTTGGTTACTGTATCTGGTCTAGTGACCCAGCATAGTAACCCAGTAGCTGGGTGGAATTAAACTACCCAACAAAAGTTTAAATTACCCAATGACAGTACCCAACAGCTTCAACCCTGTGTTTGGGTTGAGAAAACAACCCAAGGTTTTTTAGTGCGTTGTGGACGTCTGTGCAGGACTTATTCAGAAGGGAACTGGTCCACTTTGTTGGAAGGTTAAGAGTGGCTCTAACATAAAGTTGTTGGAGTCTGAAGCGCATCTATAAGCCAAATAAGTGACACCTTTAAAAATAAGTTGACCCAAAGCAAAAAAGCTAACACCCGTAGCCACAAAGAGTAGGCGTTTTGCATAGGAGCCCCACCGACTTCCCTCGTCAGTAGAAGCAGGCGCTGTCTCTTGAGAATCAGTAAGAGATTCAATACCTTCCGGCTGCTCGGTTGAATCTAAGTTCTCAGATATCACAGCTGTTCCATCGAAGAAAAGATTTTGTTTGTACTGAACCTGATCTAAGTTGGCAAATGATGCTTGTTCTTTCTTTTGGGATGCAGTTGGTACTTCTGAGGTAGAGCAAGGTCTCTGCTCCTCAGATGCTGTCTGGGCTTCAAATTCAGTTTTCCCAGAGACATGTTCATGTTCATGTTGCTCAGCCTCAGCAGAAAACATGTCAATTTGAACTGATTCTGCAGTCCTTAGTTCAGGAGAAGGGCTGGTTTGATGCCTGGCAGATTCAATAGGATCCCAAGAATTATCTAAATCTATGTGAACAATTTGCTGTTCAGACACAACTGATTGTTCGTGTCTGTGTTCACTCTTCTCAGCTCCATCACAGAAAAGATTTTGTTTGTACTGAACCTGATCTAAGTTGGCAAATGATGCTTGTTCTTTCTCTTGGGATGCAGTTGGTACTTGTGAGGTAGAGCAAGATCTCTGTTCCTCAGGTGGAGTCTGGACTTCAAATATTGAGCCCAGGAGTGTGTCCTGTCTTTTCTCGTGGCACTCAATGACCTCTTGCTCAGATTCTGAAGCCACAGATTGCAAAGGAATGTCGTCTTGGTGCAGCTCGAAAGCAATCGGGTTGTTATGTTGGTCCGATTCGGCAGCAGAGGTTTCTCCTTTTGCTAAATCTGACCTTTTTTGCAGCTGGATTGCATCTAAGTCCTCTTGTATGACAAATGCTGGATCCCAGAAAGGATTATATTTGTAAACTACCTTCTCTGAGTTCACAGATAATGTACCCTTCTTTTCTTGGGTTGCGGTTGTCACTTTCAAGGTAGAGCAAGGTCTCTGTTCCTCAGGTGGAGTCTGGACTTCAAATATTGAGCCCAGGAGTGTGTCCTGTCTTTTCTCGTGGCACTCAATGACCTCTTGCTCAGATTCTGAAGCCACAGATTGCAAAGGAATGTCGTCTTGCTGTAGCTGGAAAGCAATCGGGTTGTTATGTTGGTCCGATTCGGCAGCAGAGGTTTCTCCTTTTGCTAAATCTGACCTTTTTTTCAGCTGGATTGCATCTAAGTCCTCCTGTATGACAAATGCTAGATCCCAGAAAGGATTATGTTTGTAATCTACCTTCTCTGAGTTCACAGATAATGTACCCTTCTTTTCTTGGGTTGCGGTTGTCACTTTCAAGGTAGAGCAAGGTCTCTGTTCCTCAGATGCTGTCTGGGCTTCAAATTCAGTTTTCCCAGAGACATGTTCATGTTCATGTTGCTCAGCCTCAGCAGAAAACATGTCAATTTGAACTGATTCTGCAGTCCTTAGTTCAGGAGTAGGGCTGGTTTGATGCCTGACAGATTCAATAAGATCCCAAGAATTATCTAAATCTATGTGAACATTTTGCTGTTCAGACACAACTGATTGTTCGTGTCTGTGTTCACTCTTCTCCGCTTTAGTAGGAAACGTTTCCTTTGAAACACTTAGCTGTTTTATTACAGGCTGAACCTGATTAGAAAGATGGGGAGTCCCTCCCACTAGAGCTGGGTTTTTAACCAATAATTGCTTCTGTTTAGTCATCCGTCTTCTTGAATTCTGTTTACTTTCCTGGTCAGTCTCTTCGTCACTCTTAGATGATGAAAATGAACGATCTATTACCCTACTGGTTCCCGAGGTGCTTGGCCGTCCACACCCACACGGTCGATCATTTCTACCGTCCAAAAACATGTCATGTCTGTGCCTGCTTGGCTCAGTCTCTGTTGAAAACGATGATTGCTCCTGAGATTTTTTTCCAGCTTGAAACTGGTGGTATGATTTTTGTAAAAACGTTCTAATTTTAGCATGTTGTTCAGATGAGAGCCGATCATTTCTACCGTCCAAAAACATGTCATGTCTTTGCCTGCTTGGCTCAGTCTCTGTTGAAAACGATGATTGCTTCTGAGATTTTTTTCCAGCTTGAAACTGGTGGTATGATTTTTGTAAAAACGTTCTAATTTTAGCATGTTGTTCAGATGAGAGCCGATCATTTCCCCTTTCTGAAAAATAAAGTCTACGAGATTCGCCTGGAGTCTCATCTACAGGCTTTCTTTGAGACATGTTATCTCTAAAAGTTGAGTTTCAGCAGAAGTGAAAGTGACTGCTCTAAACGAGATTTTAGTCTGACAGATCTGACCTATATGTTGCGTATGTCTAGTGACGTCACACAGGCATAGGAATGCGCGCCTTTGATCTATGTACATGCAAATGACAACACGCGCATTGCATTCGGACTTATTGCGCATGCGCACGCATACGTATACAGACCTGTACGCAGTAGACGGATGTACGCAATGCACGTGGGTAATTTGTTGAGCACTAGTGTTTTGAATCAGAGAACAGTCAGCTGACGTTAATTCAGCTCACGTGCTCCCTCCGCTAAACATCAACCTCCTGCTTCATCACACCAGATAAACTACACAGGTAACAAATCACGCTGGTGTTTTCCACCCAATCAGAGTCGCTCTTTGTCCAATTCCACATTTGAGAAATCAGAAACAAGCAAAGCAGAATACTTCCTGAAATTAAAAGGCGGAAATTTCTAAATCAAATGGTAGGATTTTTGAGAAAAACATGAATGTAGTTGCTGTAGTTATGTAAGCTGTTTTTACAGGACCGTTTTCAAAACGGGATTTGCCGCGGCTCCCTGGGGAGGATAAAGGTCGTTTATAAGATCAGACCGTAGCGGTAATGTGGCGCAATCGTGGCGATTTTATAAAAGATTAGGTGATGGCGGCATAAAGGGGGTATGGGGGCGGTCTCTGCGCTGCCGCAGACTTCCGTTTATCTTGGACATAACTTGCTTTTCATTGCGATTGAAGCCGTGATCGTTTTTTTTAACAAGCAGCTGATAACGGTGTCTGTCCCCATCAGTCCCTGTGCAGTCTCTGCTGATCTGAGCTTCAGCTCTAACACAGAGGCAGTGGCGCAAAAAGTGGGTATGCAGTGTATGCAAAGCATAGGGGCGCCGCAAGCATTGTACCGGTCTGTCGTGCCGAAGACAGAGCTGAGCAGGAAGGCGAAGCTCTGAAAAGATCCTTTTCTATTTCACACTGAGTTGAGGTGGCTCGGGCATCTGGTTAGGATACCTCCTGGACGCCTCCCTGGCGAGGTTTTCTGGGCCCATCCAACTGGGAAGAGGTGCAAGGGAGGAACCAGGACACGCTGGAGGGACTATAAGTAAAGACATATAATTGAGGACAACTTTGCTCCCTGGTCAGGGAGATATTTTCAGTGCTCCAAGCAGACATTTGACAGCCTTATGTCCTGAACTCCAGATAATGCAGGTTTGAACCGTCTCTGGAGCAGCCTGGAGACTGTGTTTGGCAGCTGTTTGGACCTCTGCTAAAGCAGTTGTTAATCTTTTGGTTATACCAGCTGTGTGAGCGGTTCCTTTAGAAGAGAGACAGCATGCAAATTACCAAAATTAAAAGAAGTCTTTGATTATGCTGAATAAAACAATGACAGCTGTATCTATTTTGCATTCACTGTCTCTCTCTTTTGAGTCTCCAGGACTGTTTTTTGGTATTTTAGTTTTTCTGGTTACAGAACCAACCAGAACAAAATATATGAAAACAAAAGGTTTCATCAGTTCATGACTCATCCTCACAAATACTAGCCTGGGGCAACAGGATGTAATTCATGAGGCATGTTGATCTTCAACCTGTCCTATCACTGGAAGGAGACAGGCCTGGGACGAGGGGGCAGATGTCATCATTCGTGGCAGGGATGCTAATAAAAGACCAACAGATCCTGCTGTTGGGTTGAATTTAGCATCACTATTATTGTAATTCCTTCACTTATTTTGATTGAATCTTGGACTAAATAGAAAATGATTCTGCATTGTGTCTTTTTCAGGCACTGAATGAAGGCATTGACTATGGAGAGCAGCTTGTAGCAAACAACCCAGGCTGGATGCTGATCTCTCAGTAATACCTGTCTTACCGTCAGCTGTCTTCTACACGTAGAATGTCTACAGAGGCTGGGTGAGGTGATATGGCTGATAAAAGGTTCATTACCACAGAGCATATCTAGTAATTTACATCATAAATCAGGTTGTCCACGCTGGTGTAAGTGACTGTAGAGAGTAACATTTCTGTACACAGGGAGGGTCACACATCTCTGGTGAAGGAGCTGAAGCGAGACCAGAAAGAGAAGGCTGGAGTGGTCGTGCTGTCTGTGGGAGGCAAAGGCTTGCTGAACGCAATGGTGGAGGGACTCCGCCGCGCCGGCTGGGCTGACGTACCAGTTGTAGCCATGGAAACCGAGGGAGCACACAGCCTCAAAGCAGCCATGAATGCTGGGCGGCTTGTAACTTTACCTGCAGTTACAAGGTACTAATTCCTCTCATTTAGGAAAAAAATAAAAATCTAAATAATCCATTCCAATTTTTTTTCTCATCTCATGCTTGCAATTTTGCAACCACACTGGGCCTGGTGAGGGTTTCATCAGCACAGACAAAACAACTGGTGGAGGAGCACACGGTTTTCTCAGAGGCCTCCGATCAGGAGGCTGTGAAAGTTGTTGAACGTTTTTAGGTGAGTAAAAACCTGCCTCTGATTCCATGAGAAGATATTGGACCATCAAACTGAGCTCTGCTGGGTTTTTCTCCTCCTCCAGATGAGAAGATCCTGGTGGAGGCTGCCTGTGGTGCTGCTCTAGCAGCTGTGTACAGTGACGCTATCAAAAGACTGCAGGGTGAGGGCAAGCTGGCTCTGCAGCAGGAGCAAGGCCCAGTGCTGGTGGTCGTGTGTGGGGTAACACCAGCACAGAGCAGCTTCAGATGCTAAAGAAACACACGAGTGTGGCTGCTTGGTGGATTTTTGGGTGCTTTAAATGTGTTTAGAGTTACGTAGTGAAAGATTCATTAACACAGGACAAAAGCTGTACATGAAGACATTTCTTTATTATGACACAGAAATCTCAAATGCCATTCAATTCTTTACATCTGTAGAATCCATTTTAGATATGTTACGTTTCTCATGTGCAGAGGTAAGACAGTAAAAGTTAAGTTAATGCAACCATAAATAATTGTAATAAATATCAAGTAAATGTACAGCACACGTTTAATCGCAACACCTCATTGTATGGATATGTCCTTTTATAACCTTGTGTAACCTCGCTCATAGAGGAGCAGGTCAAAGAGAGAGAGCAACCCTGTTAGCAGCGGTTAAACCATCCTTCAGAAGAAGCTAAACTGATCCGCTTTAAAGCGGTCCGGTTCAGCTGTCGGTTCTGTTGAAGTAAAATGGAGATTTTACTCACACAAGAAAACGTGTTTCACCATGTGCAGAAGAAACTGAAACCATCTGAGTACGAGACAAATAATGACCAAGATTGTTTTTTTCTTTAAAATTCATAAAAAGTAGCAACACAACAAACTGGATATCCAACAGACATCTTCTAGTTTGTTCATCTCAGAATCTTTTGTTCTTTTGGAAGAGTAGTGCAAACCAAAACTAATATATGGAGGTGAAGAGGAAAAAAAGGCTTCTGTCAAACATTACCTCAGTCTATTTACATTTTCTAGCTCATATGTTTTTACACCGCTAAACATTTGGTTATGAGAGAAAGAAAATGGGAAAAACTTCATTTTGACAAAGAAAATCTATGAAAAGGCAAAACTCAAGAAATCCAGCTGCTCGTTCCTCCAGTGTAGACTGATCCTGATTAAGGATCACATGACTTCAATCACCATTTACTGGGTTTACATTGGCATGAATTAGAAGTGTCCTTCAGCAGGTCATGTTTTCATCAAACAGGCAGTAAAACATAGGAGTCATCCTGATCACACCTGCTTCTACATCAGCTGATGTTGTCAGAACCAAGGCATCAACAGAAATCCTCTTTTTCAGGTCGTACCTTCTAAAAATGTCAGATGTTCCTTTTTGGTTCACATCATCATCATCATCATCACACACAACCAGCTGAATCCTCCTAACAGAGGCTCAGACAGCAAAGGCATGCCTCTGAGCATCGGCCGTTAAAGAGGGATCCGGAGGGAAGAGGCTCGGTTAAGCATCAGGAGCAGACATGTTTGACAGTTGCCTTTAAGGCAGGGTCAACTCCAGCATCTCAGAGAATAAGTAAGCTATTTCAGCAAATAAATACACAGCGGTAAAGTGCTGATCTGAAGTCGTCAGGTTAAGCAGACTCAACCTTATTCAACTTAAAAACAAGGCAGGGAAAAAGGAACAAGAACGAAAACTATCACAGCTCTTTTACTTCAATGCCTTCCTCAATCAGTGCAACCAGGGTGAGTGCAGGTTCAGATCACATTCCCTGAAATATCGAAAAGCAAAATCTGGATCAAATTCAATAAAAATAAAGAGGTTGATAAAGCATGTAATGCCAAACACTGTAAAAACTCTGTCTTGTTTGTGCAGCAGAGGAGAGTCCAGAGGGTTTTAGGAATAAAATCAAATATAAGGGACAGTTGTTGAGGATGTGTGGGAATGTTGGGTCTTCCTAGCCGCTCAGAGGGTCCTCGCGGTAGTGGATAGCGTAGCGCAGCTTCTCCAGCATCACGTCCAGGGAGCTGTACTGAGGAAGTTTGACCATGAACATACATGTCTCCACGCGGATGTAGCGGGAGTCAGGCTGGCCTGTGGAGGAAATAAACAAGTTTATAACTGGGATGCCTATCGATCTGCAGAAGGCAAAAGAGATCCTGTGTAATAGGTGTCAAAGGTAATCTTAGTAACTGGTAACTTTTATGTTATTAATGTCTGCAAACTTAGTATCTTGGTAACTGTACAGGCCAAAATACAAGTCATGCTACCTCAACTGGAGTAGGTAATAAAAACAACAGCTTGTTTTCTCATCACCGTCAGCACTTTCTGCACAAGGGGCACTGATACAAGAGATAAAGCACTGGGGTGCGAGAGCTCGCCAGCCTAACCTGCAGCTCCGTCGGGAGGGGCGATCTTCATGGGGTACGGGGGCACGTGGGCGGTATCTGGCCCTCCGTCTTTACACGGGCAGGTGAACGGGATGCGCTCTTGGTTGCATGCAAACTTGATGAACTTGCAGAGTTCTTCCTGAGTGAACATCTCCAGGGCGGTCCAGAAGAACTCAATGTGCTGGTCAGTCTCCATTAGACCCACTTGATACATAGTGTGAGCCTGTGGAGGGAGAAGGAAGGGAATAGCGATCTCATTCTTTATGCACAACTATGAAGCTTGTTTGCTTCTAATGCATTCAAACAAACTTTGTGAGGTTCTTTTAAACTGATAAATAATTCACCTTGAGGAACTCCAAGTTGATGTAAGGCAAGCCACATGTGCGCAGCTCAATCTCCAGAGGACTGAGCATAGTAAGAAGCTGCAGGGGAATGATGGCACTGAGCCCAGCGCGTACTGCCGTCATACACTCCACGTTCTCCAACTCCCTCAGGCGAAGGCTTCTCACCGCCCGAGCATACACGTCCTTGTTCTCCCAACTTCACACACATAAAAGGAGAGCATGACTGGGACAATAAGCTTAAACTACATAAACAAAGGCCGTGACCTGTGATCTGAGCTGCAGCCCACCTGACAGCAAAGCTGCGTCCACCCTGACACAGCTCCACCTCTTCGCCCGTCATAGTGACGTAGGTAAAGGTGCAGCACGGTCGGCTGGGAGAGTCCGGGCTTTCTCCTGAGTGGTGCTGGGAGGAGATTTCAGCACACAGGGCCTCCAGCTCACTCTCATCAGTCACCTGCAGCAGTGAAGAACAGCAGCATGTTGTACTAATGCCAGGGTATCTGCAGGTTTAAGGGAGCCAAATTTAAGACTTTTTAAGACCTTTTTTAAGGCCACTTTGACCAAATTGAAGCTATTTTTAAAAATTTAATTTCTGCTATAATTTCCAGCTATTACTTGGAACCGGTGCTAACCATGTCGCGAATGTGGGATTAACCATCCATTTACCATTAAACTTGCACTTCTCCATGGCGCAAGCTCCCACTAGCTTAACCAGCTAATGTGCTCATCTAAAAATTGCCCCCTTTCACAACCAACTGAATGTGTACGGTTCCGCATACGCCAACATCACACACAAAAAAATGCTGAACACTTACTAGAAATTCACGAAAATATCATAGAAATAAAATAATCTAGTTTATTGGGTCTTTGGTAATTTAACCCTTTGATGCATAATGGTCACTACAGTGGACAGGTACTCAAAATTGTTATTTATTTGTTTTTGCTATTAAGCACAGCTGTTGAAGGCTTTATTGCATTTGAGCCCCTCCGTTTGGACTTCAGTAAGCCAAGCCAACATATTTCATGCTCAGAATGCACGCTGTCCACTGAGGTGGACATGTAATAAACTATTTGTAAATCATAAAATTTTACAAAAAATATTTGTTGAAATTTGTTTCATTCACACCTAAAGATGAATGAAATTTAAAAAAAAAAAATCATGGTTGAAGATTTCATAATTCATGCATCAGAGGGTTAAGACCTTTGGAAACAGTATTTAAGGATTATTTGTCACTTTTAAGGATTTTCAAGGCCTTAAATTTGGAAAAGTAAATTTAAGACTTTTTAAGGACCCGCGGATACCCTGTAATGCGTATTTTGACAGAATACGAATTAGTTTACAAATGCAACAGTCAGACTGAGCTGTATCTCAAAAACAGTGATGAATTATGAAAGGCTACTATCTTTACATTTTCAAACTTCTTGACATAGTTGTAGGTGAGCATGTCGGCTTCCTGCAAGTCCTGCTCCGGGTCAAGAGGCTCGCCAACAAGGCCCTTCCAAAAACAGCCCAGGAGGTCCAAAGGAAGCGGGACATCGGCACGGATGGCTATGCCTAGAAGCTGGCCAAAGAAGTGCAACAGCTGCTCTTCTGCATAGCTGATCGGACTGGGAGTCAGGATGCATTTCCCCTGATAACAACAGCAAAACCACAAGAGGCTTTGTGAACCAGACCATCAGTTTTATGCTAACATTTATACATTTTTTTTCCGCCTGCTGTTGATTTCAGAAGTGATGCAAAGATACCTTTGTAGAAAACAGTGATGGAACACTGGTAGCCAGTATGAGAATGTGACAAGCACAATACATCTGGCTGGGGTGATCGAAAACAGCGGAAATACAAGCTATTAAAAAGGTTACCTTGTTACGGTTGGCTGCAGCACTGGGACACGGAAGCAGCAGGGACAGTGCAGAGCTCTGTAACTCCTTACACACCTGCCACAGGAAGTGTCGAAACGATCCACCTGGATAGAAACATAGACAGGAAAAATCTTTGTACGATAAAAAGGAAGGACACAAAATACGACTACAAAAGTGAAGGAGAAATTCTCACTTGTGCCGTGGACTTCTTCTCCAGTGAAGCGGATGTTGAAGGCATACGTTGGGTCTCCGCCGCTGGCCAGTTTCACACACAGCTGGGATGACGGCACACAGGACAGCTGGCGTGCAGCCTGACAGAAATACGTGTTCTCTGATGATCGGATTTCACCTGCAGAACAAATGTTGGATACAATTTTTTGAACGTACAATTAAAAGTGAGAAAAAGACAAAGGCGAGAGGAAAGTCTACCTCCAACAATCTCTAAAGGGTCCAGTGTAATCTCTGGAGCAGCATGGTCAGCTGTTCGCTGCACCGTGGCGTTCAGTACTCTGTTCATTACGGTCACCTTGGTGTCGTAGAAGATTAGACCTGAAACCAGCAGACAGCAGTGGGTGAGGATTTCAAATAAAATCTCAGTTAAAGGTGCAGTATGTAAGAACATCGTGAGAATTTTGCTGTGAGAAAATCTCAAGAGTCTAATGTTTCAGTCATTTTGGAAGGAAGGTTAAACTGAAACATTTTTCATATCCAGCCAGGGCTGGACTGGGACAAAAATTCAGCCCGGGCATTTTGACTGGAGACCGGCCCATCACCTGTTTTTTTTTTGGAAAAGACGTTAAGCCTTATGCTGTTTCTGACTTATGTATCAATCTAATAAACGTAAACCGACACCATCCTTCCTATCCTGGTATTCTAAAAAGTAGGGTTGGGGGTAAATGATTATTTTTAAAATGATTATTCTGATGATTATTTTATCGAATAGTCGACTATTCTAATGACTATTTAGATGATTAATCTAGCGATTATTTTTCTATTGCACAATTACTAAAAACCAAAAAATTCTCAAATAAATTCCTCCAAAAAATTGATAAGTTGTTACTGTAAGAGAATAAACACTTCAGGCCTTCCATTTTGTATAACACTGCTTTTATTGTGTTGCGGTTGTTTATGTTCTGGTGACGTGTAGAACTTGGGAGTGCAGGCTGCTGCCTGAGAGGTGGTTGGAGACGGAGTGTCTCCATGCTGCTTTGTTTTGTTCACTTATGTGCATGAGGCAAGTGGTGTTACGACCCTTCCTGGGGAGTCACGTGTTTCTCCTATTTTAACTGTAAATCCTTCTAGCTGTTATATTTATAACAAGAAACAGATATTCGGACGGAATATTTTCATGTTTATTCGAATATGATTGTGGAACACACCCAGCATCATAATAAATGAAGTAATGTTTATGCCAATTTAAGCCTTTATGGGTGACCAGGACTCTGTGATAATTTTTTGGCAAGGGAAATTATCATTTGTTGCCATTTTTGAGGTGTTTATGAATGTGGAAGACACCCAGCATCCTGTGATGGCACTAATAACATCAAGAGATAATAAATAAGGTAATATTTAGGTCAATTTAACCCTTTACACGTGACCAGGACACTGTAATCAATTTTTGGCAAGGGAAATGATCATTTGTTGCCATTTTTGAGGTGTTTATGAATGTGAAAGACACCCAGCATCCTGTGATGGCACTAATAACATCAAGAGATAATAAATAAGGTAATATTTAGGTCAATTTAACCCTTTACACGTGACCAGGACACTGTAATCAATTTTTGGCAAGGGAAATGATCATTTGTTGCCATTTTTGAGGTGTTTATGAATGTGAAAGACACCCAGCATCCTGTGATGGCACTAATAACATCAAGAGATAATAAATAAAGTAATATTTAGGTAAATGTAACCCTTTACAGGTGACCAGGACACTGTAATCAATTTTTGGCAAGGGAAATTATCTTCTTTTTTTTTTTCTTTTTTTTTTTTGTTGCCATTTTTGGGGTGTTTTTGATGACACAGTAGGCAGTATGAGTACAGTAACATCAACAGATAATACATAAAACCCTTATTTGGTCAATTTTAGCCTCCATGAAAATCTTAGCAATTCAATCACTTTTTGGCAAATAAAATGCCATTTTAGTTGTCTACAATTAAATCATCAATAAAGAATTTAAAGATATTTTGAGGCATTTCTTATAGGTAAACGGGAGGGTGTAGTCTATTTGGCAAGTGACAATCTTAATTTTATGTGCTGAAGTGCTTTTATCTTGTTACTTTTAAATAGAGCAACGTAATGTATAGATAGTAACCTACACAGTGTCATTAAAGCCAAAGCTTGATCATTTTAAATACTTTTTTTCAAGTAAAAATGTGCCCCAAACTAGTTAACTGTGGCTCCATGTCAAGTGGACTAAAGAAAGGAAGGGGAAAAAATTAAATCGCTGGAGAATTGTTTATTTCCATTTATACAACGTTTACATTCAATACAGGGTGCCATTTTACATTGTTTATTTATTTTTTTAGTATCAAGGCTGTAACATAAAGAAAGCCAGTTCTTACCACAAAGTTTGTGGCACAAACCATCTTTCAATCGCAAATATTGCAAAAAGGATTAATATATCCTCATTGTGAACGTTTAAGACAAATAGCAACACTTAAAACAACTTCCGAACTGGAAAAACTAATGTGGCAAGGTGCAGAAACGAGTGTCTGGGCGGGATTCGATCCCCAGACTCCCGAGTAAGAGTCATACGCTCTAACCAGTCAGCCAAAGGGGCATCGCCTTGACCAAGCAGCCAGGGCACATGATCAATCGGGACATTGTGGATGCTCACACTGCCACATTTTCCTCCCTCTTTCCACAAGCACGTCCTCGTGCTCCCGCGCAGGGTGCCACAAACACTGCCACACTAATATCCGCGATAAACATCTGTTTAAGTACCGGAAGAGGTTATCTTTGCTTTCTGAATGTCCATATTGCTAGATATGCTGAGTTTTAGGGCGAAATCCTGGGGAATTTTGTCTAGAAATGCAATTACCTAACCGTGCGCGATCCCGCGGTGGCTAATCATTTTTTGGCAGCGAGTCAATTTATGGCACAACACCGGCTCGGGTTTCTCCTCCTCCTCCCTCTTTTCTTCTCCAACCTGTCGCTGGGCTGAGGCTCCATCACATCACTTCCTAAATTGATTTTACTTGAACCTTCACTACCAAACAACTGTGAGATTTTAACACATGTGCCAGCATCAGCCTGAAGGGCCAGTTTCTTTTTTAGTCGAATTTTCTCCGCTCCTGCTTTCCGTTTTTTGTTCTCCATTTTGTAAAGCTCGTCTGTCTGTTTACTGAGATTCACAAACAACTGGCGGGTGCATCAGACCTCTGGCTATTGGTCCAGCCCAGAGTGTATTATTACCAATTGGCCAATCCACCAACTTTTACGAGGCGTCGCGTGGGGCGGCGCGGACAAGTTGTCCGCAACAACTAGAGGCCAGGAAAAAAAAAAAAAAAAAAACAGACACCGGCCCATAAAAGATGAAAGGGTCGGCCCAGCGGGCAGTTGCCCGCTATGCCCTATGGTCAGTCCAGCGCTGTATCCAGCTGGCTGCTGGATTGTCAGTTTTTCTCCTTTCAAAGTAAGGAGGGACGAAACTGTTTACCATCAGTGAGTGAGGGGCTGCCGTGCCTCTTCAGAGCTAAAACTGCAGCAATGATTGCATTAACCAAATTTTACCCTGAGATGTCATTTTTACTTCATACATAATGCACCTTTAAATTGAAACAGGTTACTTAATTTTATTCACAATTGGAAAAAAATGGGATCCATTTAATTCTACAAGTCGCCCTGTGGTCTTTTGTTGTTTGCCTTTAGAGAACCCCTGTGGGTAACGCTTCCTTTTACAGTCCCCTAATTACTAAGTACTTACATGGTAATTACATGGTAAGTAAATGTGTATTATTGTGTAATTAAAGTGTATAATTGTAAAAAAGTGTAATTATTGTGTAAAGCAGTATTTGCTGGGAATGATGAATAAAAACAAAAACCAGAATTGAACCTCAGTTACATGGTAATAACTTTAAAAATTCTGAAACAATAATACACTTTAACTTGCTATGTAATTACCATGTAAGTACTTAGTAATTAGGGGACTGTAAAAGGAAGCGTTACCCACCTGTGTTTGTAGGACAGACAGAGAGATGCTGCACTGATGTTGTGTGTGAGGCAATACAATGAATAGCTTTCTTTTTGGTTATGTAACGTTGTAACGTTGATCAGTTAGGAGCAAAACATCATCTCCCACTCAGACTCGCTTCTCCAGAACAGAGGTTCTGAACTGACATCGCACCAACACACACTCCATCTCACATTCATTCCATCAGCATCCATCACTAGAGAGATCGTTCTGTTAAACTGTTTAAAATCATTTAGATAATAAATTTTGCTTAAATGTTGGAGGTCTCTCTCCCTTCTCTTGTCTCTCAGTTCATGCAAAATGTATTCAATTTCCCTGTAATAAAAAGAACCACTCTTCTGATTTAAAAAGCCCAGTGTCCAGAGATGGGGTCTATGCTAGGTATGGATCATTAATATCTCTGGTCATTAACCAAAATGTAATTCTTAGCATCCATTACATTATCAATAGTGTCAAATCCAAAAGGCTTCAAATGAAGACATCTGTACTTTGGTTTCTTGAAGACACCTCACTTGTCATCTGAGGAGCTTTGTCAATTCTGGCTGGAATATGGGAGAGCAGGGGCGGCGTTAGGCCCGGCTACTTGGGCTGAAGCCCCGGATGTTTTATGAAAAGCCCCGGATCCAAATCGCGTAAGTAACATGCAGTACCAAAGTCCAACAGAGAGGGAGCAGCTGGCAGTAGTTTGTATACAGCCTGCCTGAGCCTCCGCCACTGAAGAAGAAGCCCTTCAGCAGCCGGCTTCTTCTACACTCTGCCTGAACTGCATGTGTGAAGATGGACATAAGGATGTTTTTTAGACCAAAAGTACCACGACAGAACCCCAGCTTTGATGAGACTGGTGCTGACTCAGGTTTGTGAGTCTTATTTGAAAATATTTGTTGTGCTGCTGGTTTGCCTAAAGTTAGCTTACTATCAGGTAAAGTTGTTGGAGAAAGAAAGGGAATATTTACTATCATCTCACACTAAACACTAACAGGAACAATACTCTGCCCTGAAAATGCTTAATATGTAGCTTCAGATTAAAAAGTATGTGGTACAAGACAAATATATGTGATGTTGACTAGTGTGTGTCACGTGTGTGTGTGTGCATGTGTGTGTGTGTGCACGTCCGCGTGTGTGTGTTAAGCCCCGGATCTTCTTCAGTCCTAAATCCGCCCCTGTGGGAGAGTCAAGTTTATATGCTACAGCTTTCTGTTGTTATTATCGAGCAGAAACTACTCTGAATACCCCTCCTCTCTACCCCCTGATGAGTTGTTGGCATCTATTAAGAGGGAATCGTGTTGATCCATCTTCTCTGTGCAGAATGTGTACTTGTGTACTAACTGTTTTGAGAGAGGAGTAAAAGAAGCTATCTATAACAAATGTGAAAACCCCACTTTAAATAGGAGTGGGGGGTCTAGGTTTCACCTTTCCAGTACCTATAATGCAGCTTTGAATCTCATTCCTAAGCAGTTTCAGTCTAGGTCACACCTTCATGCATATAATCAACACAATGACTCCCTCTCAATAGAGGCTAACGGCTCATCAGGGGTAGAGAGGAGGGGTATTCAGAGTAGTTTCTGCTTGTTAAACAACAACAGGCAGCTACAACTAAAGCCGGGCGTACACTGTGCGACTTTTTCACTTTTTTGAGCCGATTTTCCACTCGTGCGAGAAGAGATCGGGGCGAGTTTTGCGCCGAGTGTCATGTAGTGTACAGGGGGTTACGAGAGGCGATTAACACCACGTGACCAGCTACCAATCAGCAATCATGAGCTTGCACAAACTTCTGGCATGTATGAAATTTTGCTCGTCCCTCGTGAGGGTATCGCACTGTTGAAGCGGCGCTGCGAGCAGCTGCGACCCAAAAAGTACCAGAACCGCTCACGGCGCATGCGCAATCATGCATCAACACCGCTTGCCCGCTATTTCCCTAATAACACACGTTGTTTGTTTTTATTTCTACACGTTTTTTTTACTCACAAAGATTGTCAAGAAAGCGTGTTTGTCGTGTTCATGTCAAATTAAACTGATCATAAAACACAGATTTACTTTCTTTATTTTGTTTTCCTCATCCAACCCCCATAAATCCCTGTGTGTCCTCCTGCAGCACTCCCGAAGGACAACAGGCAAAACAATACAAAAAAGTCTAACGTGTTGAGTAAAAACTGCTATTTTTAGCATATTTTTTAGGGCCAACGTGTTGCTAGCAGACGTACAGTGTGAGCAGTCAGGTCGCATCCGAGAACTGGGTCGTGCAGTGTGAGCACATGACTCGTGAGAACTACCCTGCGAGGAAGTCGTACAGTTTGAGCTGAAGCTGAGTGCTACGAGTGAGAAAGTCGCACAGTGTACGCCCAGCTTTAAAAGCTCGACTCTCCCATGTTCCAGTCACAATTGACAAAGCTCCTCAGATGAGAAGCAAAACACCTTCATTTGAACCCTTTTGAATGGTCATGAACTTTGGGAGAACCTTCACCACGATATTGTAAAATCTATCATAAATTATACCTCATGTAAAAAGATGCTCTTACTTTTAGATAATCCAAGTCTAAAATGTACTTCCAAACTAAGATATCAATCACTAAAGGCCTGTTATCACTACAGAACCTCCGGGTTATTTTACTAGATCTTTGAGGCATTCGCTTGTCTATTTCACAGGGACGGCCCAAAAAGACAATTTTCTGCAACATTTCAGGGACCAACAGGTTACTAAACTTCCATCCATCCATTTTGGTCTGCTCATACGGGGTCAGACCACAGGGAGGCCCAGACATTCCTCTCCCCAGCCACTTGGGCCATCTCCACAGGGGGAATCCCAAGGTGTTCCCTGGCCAGCCAAGAAACATAGTCCCTCCAGCGTGTCCGGGTCTTCCCTTGGGTCTCCTCCTGGTTGGACGTGTCTGGAAAACCTCACCAAGGGCATCAAGGAGGCATCATAACTGGATGCCCGAGCCACATCAACTGGCTCCTCTTGATATGGAGGAGAACACTTTACGTTCGTATCTGTGATCTTGTTCTTCTGGTTACTTCCCAAAGTTCATGACCATAGATGAGGGTTGGAACGTGGATCACCTGGAAAACCAAGAGCTTCACCTTCCGGCTCAGCTCTCTCTTCACCACAACAAACTGGTACAACGCTCACATAACTGCAGACGCAGCACCAATCCGCCTATTGATATATATGTAAAATAAAACTTTTATGTTATTAATGTCCGCAAACTACTTTTGGTGCTGATCAGCGACACCGCTCACTGCCAAAACTCTACAGATATGCGGACGTCTTAGCAAAGTCCTGAAAAAGCTGATTTCATGTTTTATATGTATGTATTTAGCAGACACTTTTGTCAAAGCGACTTACAAGCGATATGAAGCCAGCAGCTTGCCCTCGAGGCTAACAAAACACTAATCAGTTAGTCCTAGGTGGCACTGAGGCAACACAATGAATCATGAAGGGAAGGGAACAAGGAGTGGACAGTAGAGTGGGGGACGGGTGCAGGGAGGGTCCTAATTTAGAAGATGCCCTCTGAAAAGCTGAGTCTTGAGGAGTTTCTTGATTTTGTATAGAGACACAACAGCTGAGTGGACAGAGCCATCACATTTGCCCTGTCACCGTCCCCCCTCCGAGTTGTGTCATGAGGGGGTCAGCAGCCTCTCCTAAAGATGGCTCATATTTCTTGAAATTTCTAAGAATTTTAATTGCGATGAGTTCCAGATGCCCGCAACAACTTGGGACTATTTTGGGGTTCCACATGAACATTTAAACTTAAAGATATTTGAATCTTTTAAGAAAAATAGAAATTTGTCTCCCCATGTGGAAAGTAACATTGGTCTGATGTCTCATAAAAGAATGATGATCTTAACAGGCTAATTCCAGGTGGCTTTGGTAGAGGTGTGCTACTCACCTTTCGCTTCACACAGCAGTGCTGCAATACTGTTCTGATACGTATGAGTCCGTCTCAGCTCCACAAGGGGCAGGAAGAAACTCTCCAGGGTGTTGTTGAGGGACTGCAACAAGGCGAAGCGCAGTCGCAAGCTCTCTACAGGAACATCTACAGACAAGAACATTTGTAGAAAAAGGTATAGATTAGCAAGAAAATAGACCTGCTACCATAAATGTTCTAAATGTCTGAGAAACGGCGTCCTTACTGAGCAGGCAGGCAACACGAGGATCAGCAGCATCACTGGGGTCCAGGTACACCTCATGGGGGTGCAGTCGGGCTGGCGTGATGGCCAGGTGGCGACACAGTCTGTTGATGTACTGCACCAAAGCTACATCCATGTCCAAGCTCCACTTTCTACAGGCCTTCTGGGCATGGCGAGTGTCTATACAAGTGCACCTAGAATACAGGGAGAGGAGCTTTTAGCATGAAATGATTGCAGATGGTAAAACAGACCACACTCACGCTGTAAGTGAATTAGACCAAATAGAGCTTTTAACATGCGTTTTTTCTTTAATGGTTACAAATTAACACTTTGCAACAATGAATGTTAAACATGTTTGTCTCCAGGAAGAAGCAACAAACGTTTAGAAATAAAAGTGCACAAAATTATAACATAAATGGGAATGTCCAATATTAATACAATTATTATCGGCCGATGTCTGCATTAAATTTTAATATTGGTATCAGTTTTCAGTCTTTTATGTTTATGTTTATGTATTTAGCAGACGCTTTTGTCCAAAGCGACTTACAAGTGATAATCGGCATGTTGCCCTTGAGGCTAACAAAAACAATAACAACAACAACCAGAACAACAACCAATTTCCAGTCAGTCATAGGTGGCAGTGAAGCAGCATGATGAATCATGGACAGTAGGGAACAAGGAGTGGACAGTAGAGGGGGACGGGTGCAGGGAGGGTGCTAGTTTAGAAGATGCGCTCTAAAGAGCAGGGTCTTCAGGAGTTTCTTGAAAGTCAAAAAGGAAGCCGCTGTTCTGGTAGTGCTTGGTAGGTCATTCCACATTTGTGGAACGATGCATGAGAAGAGTCTGGATTGTCCTGAGCGTGGTGTGGGCACTGCTAGCCGACGATCCTGTGATGACCGGAGCGGCCGGGCCGAGAGGTAAGCCTTTGCAAGAGAATTCAGGTAGATGGGAGGCGTACCATCTTGGACTTTATATGCTAGTGTTAGCAATTTGAATTTGATGCGTGCTGCTAATTTCCCTCTGGGATTATTAAACAGAGTATCTGCAGGTTTAAAGGAGCCAAATTTAAGACTTTTTAAGACCTTTTTTAAGGCCACTTTGACCAAATTTAAGCTATTTTTAAAACTAAATTTGAGCTATAATTTCCAGCAATTGCCTGGAACCAGTTCTAGCCACATCGCATACGTGGGATTAGCCATCCAGTTACCATTAAACTTGCACTTCCCCATGGTGCAAGCTCCCACTAGCTTAATCAGCTAATGTGCTTATCTAAAAATAGCCCCCTTTCACAACCAACTGAATGTGTACGGTTCCGCTTATGCCAATATCACACACAAAAAAATTCTGAACACTAACTTGAAATTCACAACATTTTTATAGAATAAAATAATCTTGTTTATTGGGTCTTTCGTAATTTAAGACCTTTGGAAACTGGATTGAAGGATTATTTGTCATTTTTAAGGATTTTTAAGGCCTTAAATTTGGAAAAGCAAATTTAAGACTTTTTAAGGATCCGCAGATACCCTGAATAAAGTATTTTTGATTTGATTTGATTGATTGATTTCATAGCGGTAGCCAGTGGAGCTCAATGAACAGAGGGGTGACGTGTGCTGTTTTTGGCGTGCCGCTGCATTCTGGACCATTTGAAGAGATCTCACAGTACAGCCTGGAAGACCAGTTAGAAGGGCATTGCAGTAATCAAGGCGGGAGATGACAGTAGATTGCACCAGGAGCTGGGTGGCATGTCGAGTTAGGTATGGTCTGATCTTTCGTATGTTATACAGCGCAAAGCGGCATGAACGAGCAACAGAGGCAACGTGATCTTTAAAGGTCGGGTGTTTATCAATCACAACACCCAGATTTCGAACTGCCTTTGAAGGAGCCAGAGATAGGAAGTCATTTTGGATTGAGATATTGTGCTGTATGGATGGGTTTGCTGGGATGACAAGTAGTTCAGTTTTGGAGAGGTTGAGTTGGAGATGGTGGGATTTCATCCATTTTGATATGTCAGAGAGACAGTTTGAAATTCGTGCAGAGACAGTGTGGTCGTCCGGTGGAAATGACAGGTAGAGCTGGGTGTCGTCTGCATAGCAGTGGTAAGAGAAGCCATGTGATCGAATGATCTCACCCAGTGAGGTGGTGTATATGGCAAAGAGAAGAGGTCCTAGTACAGAGCCCTGGTGGACTCCTGTGGCAAGATGGTGCACGGTAGAGGATTGTTCAAGCCAAGATACACTGAATGATCATC